GATGAGCCACGGATTCAATCGATCGCGATTATTATATTTTGATGACTTTCGCCAATTCCCGTTTATCCTCGAGTTAAACTAAATTAATCGTTCCCATCTTTCTACTTTCTAAATTTGATTTAAAATAATGAATGCTTCTCCATCTTTTCTATTTCTTCTACGAGATTTTGATAGCTTCAATAAATTTATCGTCTCATAAGTTTTGTAGAGAAAAAAGAGAAGTTTCTTTTAGACTTTATAGATTTCATATATACAATTTTTATAAATCTCGAATATGATATTCTTGATTTCTTTCAACAATATTATTTCACATGAAAGGTATAAAAGTCATGACATCACACAAATTCATCAATCGCGTTTAATGACTTTGTCATGTTATCCGCGTAGTTGTTTGAATTGAAAAGCGAATTGAATGGCTCCGATCAATTTTACATTTTCCACTACAAACTGCGAACAGAAATGCGCAAAACGAGTGCAGCATGCAGAAATAACTTTTAGTTACTGTCTTTGAATACGAAAAATCAAATTTTAAATGCGAAGAAGATATCATTATAGTTATTGATAACGATGATCGTGTGTCTTGATGGCTTTATTTAATTAATAATGTAATAAATAAAACTGCTTTTCTACACTTTTTTTCAAGCGCCTGGAGTGTTTTAAATGATAAGAATAACTGTGTTGTGTAGAGTCCGTTATTTAATTGAAAGCTCTGATTTATAGCCGAGATTTTCCTGAAATCATCGTTTTTGCGAAGCTTATTAAAATCTTTGCGTTGTTCTTTTTAAAACGAACTTTCTAAGAGTCGTTAATAAGTAATGGATGTCTGACCACATCATATTCTTTTCCACTTGTTTAACTCTGACATGACTTCATATGAATTGATACGAATCCATTATCTTTTTTCTTAATAATTCCTATTATGATATAACGAGATCTCTTACCTTCTGTAATGCGACAATGATTAAAGTCTTTAATTGAGCTGTCGGATGGAGCAATGATAAAGATTATTAATGTTATATATTCGCGCATAGCACTTTGCTCTCGCGGATTCTACCTTTCTTCGTTTTATCGAAGTTGTAGCATGCGCTCGGCGACCGGCGCATCGTCAAAAAAATCGATTTAGCTACCGCGAAGTCTTCTATCTTCCCCCGTGGAAGTCGTAGATAAGAGCAGTGGGTAACGTTTCGAAAAGCTGACGTAGAAACCACGGATGAATTATTTGAACGCCAAACTTAAGCGGCAGATTTCGTCGATCTATCGCGCTTCTGTTTTTTTTACGTTCCATTTAATCTGTATTCGCGACCCAGTCGCGATAACGCTCGTGCAACTTTAATACGGTCAATATATACCGTAAAAAAACCCCCGTTGGAATTATTGATTATGTTACATCTATTGAAATATATATGTGTGCGCGTTTTGTTTGTTATTCGTTTATTTTGTAATATAATACTGCGATATACGATTACATTTCATTGGTTTATTTTATAAAAAATGTCTAGAACATAACAGTGATCATTTGTTCACTCACTTTGTTCATACGATCTTTTTTTGTTTTATTTCAAGTTGTTTTTATTATATAATCGAATATCCAAAATGCTTGCAAAATGTATAACATGTTACATATAGTAACGGATATCTATCGGATGTAGTATTTATTTACCTGTAATATTTGCATTGTAATCACAACTCACATGCGGCGATAACAAAAGTAAAAAAAAGAGGAAAATAGAAAATAAAAATAGTTTGGACTGCGCATAGATATCTTGACAATGGAATACGACCAGTGTAGAAACTCATTTTATACGATATTTTTTTCCGCAAAATAAAAATGGAGTTACAAAAATTTGAGTAATATTTTTGTAAATCTAGATTTTTAGTATAACTTGTACAACTTTTTGGTGGATGGAAAATATATTTTAGCTAAAATTCGTTGTCAATCTTATGTATAGAGTACATGCAGTCGAGCAAATCGATAAAACGATGCTCAAGACGGCTGGATAATCACACAGTGGCATTCTATTTAATTCTGGTCGAAAACTTTAAATATTTTTCCGCTATTTTTAATGCTATTTTATATTATCAAAGCGGTTTACTTAAATGGATTTTAAAAAACTCGCAGCCAACAAAGAGCTGTAATAATTTCTTTTCGTTCGAGGCTCCAAGGCACAATACACGTCCATTGTTCTTTACGAATGTGATTAAATTCCGTCTGAACGAGTTAACAAGAAACTCGGAATTTAAGTTCGAGAAACATACTGTGTAAGAAGACGCATCTCGCGGAGTTTCAAGAGTTAAAGTTGGAGAGGTGGTCTTAACCGCGTTTGCGAGATGAAGCCGAGTAGTTCGTTTTTCTCGTCAAATTATCTCATGTTGCCCCGTTTGCTGCGATGAAATTCGAGGGAAAGTGTTTGCGAAGAAAAATCAGTTGATTAAATTCCATATGTGAAGAACATAGGTCAGCCTAACTGGGGTTTAGAATAAAGCGGCCAATTTTAATAAAGATCTGTTATATTGTTGAATTAGCGGATCTAGTGAGTGAAATCAAGGCGAGGAAAATGGGAACCCTCTTTCGATGGATTGCCCTTCTCAAATAATTTGTCGACACTCAAATGAAATTGTTTTAAACGAAATTCCGATAGATAACGTGTACGTGCATTCATTCGTAATTAGGAACGGTCGAATTAAATTTACACTGCGAATCGTGCAAATATAAGAAACTTTATAGTCTAGGAAGATAAAAGCGTTATGTTTTTCCGAGCAAAAATACGAGGCAAAACCATATCCTGTATTTTCTCCGTTCAAATTATTGTCGGTTTTTACTACCGCGTTTGCCTCATACTTCGCCTCATACTTTATCCGAAATGTATTGCGTCATCGTTTTGCCGTGGCACGTAAGCAGTAAGTTTACTTTTGCAGATATTAAACGCGCTATTCCTCGTATGTTTTCACAATATTTGCTATAAGTGGCAAAACTCCTTTAACTTCGAATATAGGCAAGAGGATTCTGTAAACGAACGTTTTGCGTTTATTAATTATTTCTTTAAATGTATAGTTCCTATAACTAAAAGCAATAGCAATTACCCCACTTTGTTCATATAATCCATTATCTTTTTTTTCTCCCTTAGTCAAGACGAGTCACGCGAAAACCAAGACGTTGCTATTTTCTTTGCACATACGAGTTGAATAACAACGATCGTGTTTCTTGTCTATAAAGTGGATTCTTTTTCACTGTTTCTTTCTTTTTTTTCTTTTTCCATTATGTGCTTCTTTCCATTTCCTAGAAATACAGTTTTATACAAGCGAAAGATATACAAGTGCTCCAGAACCGCCATCCTCATTTTTGATGATGATTTTTTCGAGTAAATTTTCTTCTCTGTTTCTTTTGTGTCTTTTTATCTTTCTGTAAAATTTTTTTATATTTCAAAATTTTATCGCAATTTTTTATACAATTATTCTTAATTATTTACGTTCACATTTCTCCTTTTCTATTTAATTTTATTTAATATTATTAAATTTTGATTGATTTTCTCGAAATATTTGATCTTATTAGATTATATTTTTTATATTACAATAACTGAAACATTTTTATGCGATAAAAATACACATGATGCTAGAATTCCATTTAGGTTCGAAATGTCAATTTCTGGAAAATAATTATACGATATTTCGAAATGTGCACTTTTAGTCGCAACCTGAAACAGCAATTGAGAAGTTGCAATCGTGATTCCGCACATTGTAGATTCTCGTGTGTCACAACTTATTTTCCTCACCATCTTGGCAGCTCGACAAAGAGGCCTCTGCCGAGAACACATAGGTAGCTCAACAGGTAGCTTTGAGAACTCCGCGTCCTTCTCTCTTCTTTTCTATATTTTTCTGCCATTCTTTCATATTTTACTATGCTATACTCTGGCGAGCTGTCACGCCTACACGCGTGAATTGCTCTTCGAGGTTGATACTTTCCATGCCGCTACACCCTTTGACATCGAATTTGATTGAATTTTGGCGCCGCGTATATCTATCCACGAGCGCGATAAACGCGTTTAAGTAAACTCATTCATGTTGGTTTATCGCATCACCACGATCATTTTGCATTTAGCTACTCTTTGGGTATCAATTTTCGATGCATTAACGGTAGCGCGATTTGAGGTAAAAGAACATTTATCTGAATATTTGTATATACATATAATATCTGTATATGTAAAGAATTTCTTTTTCATTTTTAGTGAAATTAATAACGTGGAAAATGAGATATTTATAATTTTATTCTACGATATATAATTATAACATCAATATTTATTGCTTTCGAGACAATTTTTTTCTTTCTTTTCATTTTATTTTTCCTGAAAGAGTTCAAACTGATACTTAACCGTAATTGCAAATAGTTAACGAAACAAAAAGATTATTTACCAACTCATCAGCTAAATTAATTTGGATATTAAGTTTCCAGTCAAAATTATACTGCTTCGAGGACAGGAATATCGAGAAAAAGCTAATTATCATCGTACTTCATTAATGACTCTCAACAATTCATTCGACGTTCGCTGATGCAATTATATGAACGATATACCTCGAACCAGTAAACAAAGCTTGAGTAGATGCAAACATCGGACGGACGCTCTGTAATTAGACGCGGTTTGCAGATATGAAAAAATGCACAAACAATGTGTTGCCACGATTCATTAACAGCAAGTCACAAATTGCGCGATTTTAATTCATCTCTAATTTATTAGATTGCGAATTTTGAAGATTACATTAGAAGAAATAGAAACTTGAGACTTTTTTATCATTCTTAAATCGCTTCGTGCTCGTAATGACGTTTGCCTTCTCTTTTCTACTCTTCGTTGTAACGTAATTTTAAACTCTCCTTAGTTTTAGCAAGTTTAACTTCGTACGGGTACTGAATCGAAAAATATCTCGCGGAAATATTTCTCTTCGTTGTCCTGCTCGTATTTTGCAAGATCCGTAGCGAGATTCGAATGACAGCGTTTTAATGCCTCCTGTCAAAGGTTACATCGTCCATCATCGCAGGATTTCGTGACCCTGAATGTCTTGCATCCAACTCGTTCACCACTTGTCCCGACATTACTGGAACACGTTTCGATTGATTGTCTTAAAGAGGGTGTTTTCTCTTTGTCGATGAAATGCCCGGACTCTATGTAACACGTTCTGAAGGTTGTATGTGACTCGCGTGATAAAAGTTCCCCCAGTTCATCGTTGTATATTCCGTCGAGCTTGCCTTGACTCGAGACGTCCGTTTGCGATTCGATCACGTACGTCAGATTAGTTCTTTTGCTCCTGAAAGATCTCGCACTGCCCAACGAACCTGACTCGTCATCTGCATTAATATTTTCCATTGAACTTTGAGTTTTCTGTTTTCATTCAAGTAATGTATATTTTGAAAAGAAACGCGCGATATATAAAATAAAATAAATTTAATATCTTATTTCATTTAAAAAAAAAATAAATAAAAAATATGTTTATATTAACCTTATAGAATAATATGACGAGTTTTAAAATTTCATATAAAAGTCAGCTTACACATTCAAAAAAAAAAAAACAGAATTCAATATTTTTATACTTCTTCAAATAAACATATTTTTCAGTTTTTCGTACGCGTTATTTTTTTTTAATCAACAGGTCCATCAATGGATTGTTTTTACGCCTAATATTTTTAAAAATAAAAAATGTTAATATAACATTTTTCTAAGTACAGATAGCTCGATGTCTCTCTATATATGTCTAAAGAGATCTCTGATACCTATTTGATGCCGATCGAGGATTTCGCCGTCCAGGCAATCGGAATAAAAGGATGGTATTAAAGCGTCGTCGCTGTCCGACATCCTCCTAATTCCCCAAGTTTTTATCGCTCTGTTACCCTCGGAGAGTCCAGTCTCATTGCTCCGTGGCGATAACCTTCGAGGAGCACCCTTTAAGCATTGATCCTCGCCGAACGTGACTTGGCGCAGAGCGCGAGTCAGCTGTTCGATTAAATCTCGGATGTAAGACAGCGTTGGGGTGTCACCCACTTCCTCGCAGATCTTCGTAGCGATTCGCAGCTCCTCGAGTGCCTCTGTGTAAAGCGGAGCTCATCTTAGGGGTAGTCATGCACGGGGATCTCTTTCCATAATTTTGCATTCACATACATAAATTCATGCTAGTTTACGCGAACGGATCTATCCGCTTCTTACATATATAAATTACTGCGCGAAATCAGTGAAGCTGTTTGAAATTGGATTTAGATTTTAAGATATTTCAAAGTATACGCGTTATACTGTATATTACATCTTTTTCCACAATTTTGCGAAACGAACAAGTCTGAACAAAATTTACCTTACTGATAGTGTGAACATCCGTACATATTTTTAAATTCTAAAAATCACATCTTATTGTTAGAGATTATTTGACGTTCTTACGACGGTCTACATTTTGATAATCTTTCGCAGACATAGCGCAATAAAAAATGCCTTGTAATAAAAATGTCGACGTATATACATGACAATATATAGAACATACAGAGGAAAGCGTTATATTTTTCACTCTGCTTCTCTCTTTTCGTTTCTCTCGTTTTTTTGCAGCTCAACCAGACATTTTAGCTATCTTTTTCGCGCTCAGTTCAAATGACGTAAAATTGTGGAAAATTGCACGCTATATTTACGAAGATTTAAAAATGACGCGGAGTAATGTTGTATTCTGTGAAAAAAGTCTGTCGAAAGAAGGTTAAATGATTGATTGGTTTTAAAGTCTTCGCTAAAAAATGTCGGGAGAATAGAACGGGGGTATTTGGCCGCGACACGTCACACAATTTTCGCAAGGAGGATTTTGCGAGAGAAAATTCGTTCGGCCGAGAGAAATTCAGTTGGGAAGAAGAGGACTCGGGGCGACAGGTTGAGAAATGGAGTCATCACCGGCGAAACGACCCAACGTCGCCAGGCACTGCGCCCGTAGTAGACCGGCATGGAAGGTCCACTTGTTCGAGCTCGCCTCCATCGCACATTCCCGGCACTGCGACGCCTTGCGCAACGCCTCGGCGTACTTCCCTGTCTCCAAATGGCAGCGTCCGATCTCGTGGTGCAGCCAGGCTCGCGGCACCGGATGATCGATGTGGATCGACAGATTTTCCCAGGCACGAGCGGCCGCCCCCAGATGACCGAAGCTGAGATGTACCTTGCCGAGAGTCACGAGAGCTTCCGACAGGAGAACGATGTTCTTGCTGCCCTTCGATAGACGCACCAGCTTGGCGACGTTGCTGCAAGCTCGATCGTGCCTTCCCAGGGCTACGTGGATCAGGGATAAATATCGGTACGCTGGGATCGCGTATCGACGAGGATCTTCCAGACCGGACGAAAACGTTAGCAGATCCTCGGCGAATCTCAAGGAAGTCTTTATCTTGCCGGCGTTGAAATTTGCTTCCAAAGCCTTTAGCATCGCGCTGGCACGATTATTTATGTGCTTCAGTATCATTCTGGATCGAGTCAGTTGAGAGGTCAACGATCCTGGCGCGCAGGAAGCTTTCCGGGAGAGTTTCTTGCTCGTGTCGAGATATCTGAAGAAAAATCGAAACATCTTCTCTTTGAAATGTTGAGACTTGATATATAATATCGAAATTTCGAGTTGTCAAGAGTGAAGACCTTTTAGCGAATTCAATTTCTAAAGGGCAATTAAATAATGCAATCACATCGCGCTGTTAAATTAAAGTGGATTTTTTCCTATTTTCATAAGAACTTTAATATTTTAATTATAATTTTAGATTTTATTTTGAGATGTAGGAAATTTCTAAGAAAGAGAGATTTAATCTTGAAAAGTCAGCTTCAGAGTCTTTCAAGAATCTTTCAAGTTATTAAAATTATTAGTGATGTAGTTGGATCTCATTGCGCGCGAGAATTTTGCATGGTGTGGATTCTGATTTAGGTAGTTAGAAACAAGTTAATTCTACACTTACTTGGGGATATCAGAATTAATCGATAGATTATTACAAGACTTCGAAACATCGCGTGCTTTGAGCGTCGACCTATTAGAAACCGAGGTCACCTTCGAGATTGCATCGTGTCTCGTACTGACCGATAGCCCGACCAGGCTCTTCTCCGGATTATTCCACGAGTTTATCGTGGCCGCGGTGCGTCGGGCCGCCACACTGTGGCTGCTGTCATGTGGACACACAGTGGCTGCTCGATGATACAGCACTAATGCCGATTCGTATTCGCCACTGTGTGATTTATACAGGCGAAATTTTAACTTCTCATTCTGCATTCTCTTTGTCAAGCATTTATTGTTAATCTTTTACGTTCACGTACAGATCGAGTAATATAATATTTAAGCTCATAAAAATTTATTCATAAATAAATTATTCATAAATATTGTCATATTAAAGTAGAATTAATATTTCATATAAATATACATATATGCATAAACGTATAAAATAAAGCATATTATATATGCATATATAATTTATATATATATATATATATTAAATATATCAACATATTTAAAATATAATTTAATAAACACACTTGATCGTTCTTCGCAAAAACCGAATTTTTTCTTGAAAATAGCAGAACTATAGCATTAACAATTATAAGATAATAAAAAATATTTTTTGTCTTTAAAAGGTAAATTAAATCGCAGGCTATTTGAACATTTTTCTAGACAAAAATATATATATTTTTTATTTATTTCTTTGTAGAATTAAATGGTCATGGTTAGCCGCAAAAACTAAACATCGGCCATTTGAAAAGCGATATTCTCATCGAATGTTCTTTCAAAGAAGTGATGTATTGGCAACATTTCCGATATTCCCCATGACCTATTTCTCTCAGCGGCCGAAATACTTGTATTGTACTTTAGTGACAATAATAATAGGTTGCTTTTTTGTAGTAAATGTTAAATTTGAAATGATACGGTAAAATATTAATAGTTTTTATCGATAATAAATTTATCTTCCTATATCTTTCACATAATTCGATAAAAAGCTTTTGCAACTTAACACAAACAACAATAATATAAAAGTATTAATCGAATGAATGCTTTAAGTCATTAATTGATTCAAATGCACTTGAGAAATGTTTCTAATATATTTAAAATAAAAATGTTTAAACTTTTTATATAAAAACTTTTTCATTTCGCTTATACGTATGTATTATACATGTCGATCAATCTATATCCGTTTAAAATATTGACATTTTTGACGTAACTTAGATAATAGGATTCATGCATCCAGATCAAATTTCCAGTTGAAAATTACAAACGTCAAAGCAGCACAATAGGCTTTCCTGTCTTATTGTTACATTGTATTCGCGGTTCGATACAATCGAACATCCTTTTATACAACGACATAAAAATGTTATTAGGAAAGCGGTTAATTTAAATTTCCATCGTTATAAAAAAAAGGCAGTTAATGCATTTTTAATGTAACCCTAAAAATGCCGATCCACCTTGGAATTATCCAACGTGGACTCTCGAGACTAGCGTCACGCTCGCGTCAAATTACCCGAGCTAATCGAAAGTTATATGAAGCGGGACATAAGATTATAATAGCGTCCCAGCCACTTAATATCCATTAAACAGATATTGATTAACTTATACCGTTGATACAAATCGTCCGCTTGACGATGCAGAGCTTGGGCATACTGCCGGTTATTTTCCCGCGACAACTTCGACACGCTCGGCTTTATCTGAAGACGCGCACGACTCTCCGCATTCTCCACAGTCCGTTTGGTAACATCGAGATCGCATGTATTAAGCTCCCATCTGCCAGAAGTAGCCATTCATACCGTCAGTTAAGCTTCTCTTCGAGCGGAGATATCTGCGATTTGTCTTTCAGCCGGAAGTAACTTCCGCAACCAATTTCGCTCATTCAAATCGATTCCTCGTGTAATATACAAACTATATACTACATGTATAATATACTTACGATACAAATAATTAAAATAAAAATTATTGTATTTAATTTTTATGCTTATTATATTAAAATAATTAATTTTTAAAATTAAGTATCTTCTAATTTAAGAAGAAAAGAAAGATAAATAAAATATTTTGCATAGAAAGATGATTTTATAAAACACCATTTTTCAACATGTATATTTTTTAAAAATGTAAATACAATTTGTCTAAAAGAGACAAATAATTTTTGTAAGAAGAAGCTAAAGGAGATATACATCACGAAGACTAGTATATCTTAAGAAGACTCTCTATAAATATTACTTCTATAAAAATACATACTTTGTATACAAGAAATAATCTATCTTCGTAAATTTCTTGTGCGTAAAGCACATTACATAGCACCTCGCTTTTCGAGTGATCTAAGCAAGCTATCCATCTTGCGTTATTTTTGACGCGCAGCTTCAGAAAAATGCAACACACAAGATGTGTGACATTGTTCTCGTATATCGGTCAAGTGTCAAATCTTCATATCAGAAATATGTATGAAGGCGTTTATTGAATTCCGAAATATACGATTATAAAAATACGTTATCTATGTCACAAGTGTTTATTAAAAAAAAAAAATATATTACGTAAAATTTTCTCTCTCTCTTCCTCGCTGGCTCAATCAATTATTATATTGTTTCCACGAGCGCGGTTGCTAATTAATTACTGTCGCCAATTAACAGCCGGTGTACCGTTACGATAAAATGTTACTGGAGAACTTTCTCGAATGAGAAACGGGGAAACAGAAAAGGGAGTGGGACTGGAATTTCAGGCGGTGATAATGACTGAAAAAAAGAAATAAAGACAAGGAGGGTTGAATCCGGAGTGTCGGCGCGGTAAAGAGATTTCCGCTACGACGCTTCCGGTAACTCTCCGGCCAGAAAGTTGCTCACCTCGGGTTGAAGAGGCGCGATGTCGTTATTGGAAAACGACCGTATGCCACGGCGAAATGGGCTTCGCCAGATTGGAATGCGAAGATAATGGGAGACGGCGCGGTGATGCATGGCGAACAAAAAGAGAAGTCATTACATATGCGATCATGATTAAAGTATCAGTCGTAGTAATGAGCTGCGACATCGGTCTAGAATTCTTAATTACGTGGTGGTGGCGCCATAATGTATCCGGAACCCAGGAATATTTATTCGACACTTTATTTTCGTTTTTTAAATTTGCGATTGAAATTTACAAATTAATTACTGAAAAAGAAATTTACTGAATTCGTATAAGTATTTATTTCAATACTGCCCAAGGAATTATTTATTTGGAACTAATAATATTGATTTGAAAAATATTTATTTGATATAAGATAAAATCCTTTTCAAAACAAATAAATATTTAGTTATTTCAAATAAATGATTCATTTGGCAATATTCAAATAAATATTTATTAATTTAGTCATTTTTTCAGTGTAGATACATTTATTTTTGAGAATATTAAAGAGTAGGCATATATATATTAAATATGGCAATTTAACAAAAGAATTATTATTTCTGATTTTTTTAAACTCTGATACTAATTCCGGCATCCAAATTTTTTCAGCACATAATAATTTGAGAAATTTATGATTGAAATTGAAAAAAAAAACTATTTTAATAAATGAACTTTATAAAAATTATAACTCCAATACCTATATGCAATGTGTTAAAAAATTTCATTGCAATCAAAGTTATATATGTTATCAAGACTTTATTCTTAAAAGAAATTTGTGTCAATTAATAAGACATTCATGATTCATAGAGAAATGATGTTGTATACAAATCAACAGAGTAGAACTTAAAAATACGGGATTCTTGAAATATAAATTGTCTTGTGAAAAAATAAATACTCGTAAATATACAATTTGCTCGACAAAATCCATAGTTTTGAATAGCAAAGTGACCATTGGAATGAATTAACAATAGCAATGGTTGATCGTCTTTTATTAGCAAGAGTCTGTATCTCGATTATCGAGACGACAATTTGCCTCGTAGTTAATAATGCCGCGCGAACAATGCAACGAAAATATTGGCATTTTCTCGGGACGAGAAGCTCGATCATTTGAATTCTTCGAAATTCACGAAGCCCGCTCGCTTGTAAGTCGGGGCGTGCTGCTTCAGCAGAGCGATCCTGGCGTTCCTTTCCGGGTCCTTCGGCGGGCTGGGCAATATGGTCCTTCGTACGGAGGGCATTTTAAACTTCCGATCGATCGGCTTGCAGCCTGGCATGATGGAGAGTCGTCTCTCGGCAGGCACGACGTCCATACGCCTCCACAGAAAGTCCACTTCTCCTTTCATCTCCTTCGGCATCAGCTCGAGGATAAGCTGCTGCCTGGCAGCGACGTCGTCAAAGTCGCCGATACGCTCCACGTCCAGCTCGTCCACCGCTTTTATGGCCCTTTCATAAAAATCCATCTGCCGGAAAAGATCGATTCTTGAATTAACCGCGGCTCTTTCTAAATGAGGAATCCCTTTACCCGTACATTCCTGGCCCGTTCTATTGTGTCGCGTTGCAGAGAGAACTGCTCTCGATGGAACACAAAAAAAAGGAATCCTTGATTCAAGTATATTTTTATTCTTGAACGCTATTTGATTGATTTAAGCATAGAATGCTCTTTGTAATCACAAATTTTTATTTGCCTTAATAATAAATAAGTTTGTGTAAAGTAGATTTTATCCTTAAGATATATTCTTGTTTTAAAAATCGCATATGGTAAAAACAAACTTAGTCACATTTGAACTAAGAATTATTATATATATTTGAAAGTACCGCTTATATCCGATGCACACTTGTCACTTGTTCTTGCAATATTTATAAGTAAATTTCAGCTTCAACCAAGAATATTTTGCACTTTGTTTTAAAGATAAATTATCCTTTATCCAAAATTATTTATATTTGGCGCTATTATAAAGATAAAATATACTTGAATCAAGGCATATTTGCATTCTCTCAAGGATACTGTTTTTTCTGTGAAGAAAGAGTCTGTTTTTACAAAGAGAAGTCGTTTTGAAAATGTCTTCGACGTGGAAAAAACAGAAATTCCTAGCGTTTCGAGTAAAACGAATCGCAGAAAGAGCTTCTTTAATGATCATTAACATATTTAAAGAGATGTAACAAAAGTGCGCGAAACTGTACCGGGAAAAATAATTTTTCCCTCCATTATAACAGAGACATAACTGTGAGTCGTGATAACGCTTGGATGAATATAATTTGCGAACTGTGCTCGACATCGTCCATTAAAAAATTCAAATCGCGAAGATGCGCGTTGACCCAAAGAGAGGAAACATTAATGCAAATTGCGAAAGATTGCGAGCGAGTAAAGACCTCTTCGAGATACGGCTTCGATTTTATTCGCCGGTCGCCGATATTTTTTTACACGCGCGCCGCCAACTAATTTTAAAGTATGTAATATGTAATATGGGTATATCGATCGGTGGAATAAATTCGACCGCAAAGTGGTGACACTGTTACGAGCGCGTGTTATCGTAAAAATGTGGCTTTTTATTTTTACCAGATAATCGATACCGAGTTTTCTGGCGCACGCGAGCGCTAAAACCGCTGCTTCTCTCGCCTCGTTCCGATTATTCTGATGAATCTCGAGTCGCAGGATCAGATGATCGATGTTCAGGACCCACTGCTCGCAGGCCGCTTCCTGCGCAATGTCGCGGCCCTTCTTCGCGTAGAATCTGGCCAGGTCGAAGCGATGAATGTCGATGAGAAACTTGCAAAATTCATGATGCAGCCAGGCGAGTTCGAGAGGCGCGGATCCCATGGCTAATCTCCTGTTCCCCAGATTGCAAATATTCAAAATATTTTTGGGATATCAATCAATTGAATGGAAATTATATTGTAGCGAATTAATTTCGCGTACATAATTATAATCAGAAATTTTACGCATAAATTATATCTATTTATATATGATGTTCATAAATATTATATTGCGTACAATTGTATAAATCATTATTATAATTATGTGTGCTCTAAATGGAGGGATAGAGAGCAAATGTATTATTTTTAAAAGGAATATAAACTTGTGAAAAAATATATGTCGATAGAATGTTGAAATGAAATATAGAAAAATAAACAATTAATAATGAAATTCTACAGTAAATAAAATATCAGCGTTTCATGCACACATTATTATTCTATTCGTATATGAAACATGCAAAGAATTTATTGGGTATTCTAATATATTCTCTTCAAAAGGAGAGCTGCTTATGAATGAATTACACATACCTGCGAAATATCTTGAGCGTCTCCTTCGGACTCACAGTCGGCATCCACGCAAGATCGCTATCTCGAGGCAATATTGCAACTCGTATTCCCAAGTGATGCTTCAAATATCTCATCTGTAGTTCCTCGTTGTCCAGACATGTCAAATTACGCGTGTCGATATATACCCACGCTACCATTTTATATAGTGCGTCCAGACACTTTTGCTTCAGCGGAAACATCTTGTTCGAGTACGAATCGAATTTATTTTTTATACGATCGACGAGTCTGATGAAAAGAAACCAGACGGAATTTTGTAAATTCAATTACAAAGTTTTATCAAAGCTTTGTAAATATAAAATTTCATAGAGAATATATTCCGATTTAAACAAAGGAAATCACGTTCGAAATATTACAAGTATATCCACAATTCGTTGAATGATTTAGATGCCATTACTTGAAGAAGGTGGGATAATCCTTGTCGAGCCTTGCGACGTGTAGGCGGTGCAACAGCAAATTCGCTTCTATGACGATGATATTCCTGCGCAATTTTCGCTCGCGTTCAATCATCATTTTATGCCCTTTCGGCATCTGCCGCTGAAAGAGCAGAATGTAGAGCGGTCGTCTCATCCGTAGAAATTCCCGCAGGTTCATCGCGTTCCGATGACACGTGCTCGCGAGAGCGAGCAGCTCGGCAGTCGAGCTCTTACTAGGCGAAACCATGATTTCCGGATGGCTTACAATCTTCTCGAGAAAATCCTTATCGCTCGTCAAGTAACCTATATCCATTTTTACTATGATACGCTGCAATCTGTTCATCCGCGCTTGTCGCTGCACCTCCGGATCGTTTACTTTAAATCTTGCCTCATCCTCGTCGATACCTACGATTAGAACCAATCTACATCCGCTACGTAATCGACAAACAACTTGATAAATAATTTTTATAGCAGCATTTCAAGCTCTAATATTCTATAACAAATTTGTTAAACGAGGATGTAATATTATAGTATTGAAAAATGTTGACCTCATATACTTATCTCATTATTACTTGGATACAATCGACAAACAACTTGATAAATAATTTTTTATAGCAGCATTTCAAGCTGATATTCTATAATAAATTTTTAAAAAAGGATGTAATATTATAGTATATTGAAAAATATTAACCTCGTATACTTATTTCATTATTACTTGGATGTAATCGACAAACAACTTGATAAATAATTTTTATAGCAGCATTTCAAGCTAATATTTTATAATAAATTTGTTAAAAAAAGGAAGGTAATGTAGTATTGAAAAATATTGACTTCACATATTTACTTATCTCATTATTAATTAATTGGATTAATTTGACAAATGGTACAAGATTTGAGAAGAAGCAAAATAGTCGCTTTATTCCATCGAGAAAGTTGAATATCTTCTCGCAAAAGTCATTGAACGCTATTCTACTCGTACTATTTTCTCACCTTATCGTCGCTCAGCGAGATTTGTTCTAAGCATCCGATACACACCTTCTAGCTCGTCTTCCTCTCCCTCAAGCTTGCCAATCAGGCGCTCACGGTGCTCGCACAATCGTCGTATCCACGGATACAGCAGCAGAAGCGCCACGGGCGATGTATTTTGGCCGATGCAATCTTCGATGGTCTCGTTCGCCAGATAGACGCCGTGCTCGAAGGTCATTCCGTACCTTCGTCGTCGCATACCTTCGTACGCGTGAACCAGGCTGAGGCTAAACTCACCGATCTGGAAAAGCGTCTCCATCCGTATCTGCCGCGCTTTGTAATGACCGGGATCTGCAGCCGAGATACGAACGCAGAGATCAAGCGCTCGCTGGTTTATCGAACGGATTAAACGATGCTACGCTTAAAGGGAATTTTTTCTCGCACGGTTCTTTAGATAGGATATTATTCGATATTGGATATAATTATACTGTTCAACAAAAAATGATTTCTCGGAACGAGACTAATCGTTTCTTATATTTTTTGGATGCTGAATACGAATCCAGTTTCTAAATTGCTTCATCACGTCACATTTGGAGGAAGTTTTAATTAAAGTTGCAAAAAAGGGGTTTATTTTCTCGAACTTCGTCATATTATAACTATAATATGCTAGACGTGCTAGAGAAGTTTTATTGCAATCAAAATAAAGTATATTGCAGCTATATAACATAAAATTCATGAAAATAGCCCTTTTTGCAACTTTAATTAAAAATTTTTCAAAATTGTGACGCGATGGAATAATTTGGAAAGCAGATTCGTATTCAGCATCCAAAAAATATAAGAAACGATTAGTCTCGTTACAGGTAATTGTTTTTATTAAACAGTGTTATTCATAGATTTAACATGGAACGAGATGTAAGGCAGAATTCTGAATAAATTGAATAAGATGAGTATATTACGATTATAAACGTAAAAAGAAATAAAATAAATAGAAAGTAGATAATGAGAATAATTATGATAAAACATATAAAGCAATTTAATAATTATGATACAAGAAAATGTGGAAACCCTCAGCATTTATGCCGTTTAACATTTTACTTGATCAATTTCTTGCTATTGTACCTATTTTTAGACATTTCTCCGACAATTTTTCCGCGTCAACGTATCTTGTGTGTTTGATGAGAGTTCTACAGAGACCGATTAACGTTCTAAGATCCTCAGCCGTTTTAGATGCCTTTTCGAAATAATCTATGGCTATGGGGTATCTGTCCAGACTAGCCAGTCGATAGCCCCATTCACGATAAAGAATGGCTTCCCTGAAGACTTCGGGAGCTTCTTCCTTCTTCGGCGCTGACATGACGATTTATTGAATTCTTTCAAGAAGAAAAAGACGTAATTCTTGTATATATACATCACCGAAAATTAATATTATCCCATCGAAGAATGGCGATTCGAAGTAGAGCGAAACAAATATCAGAAACTTACCTTTTCTCTGTTATAAACAATAAATTTGTTTAATTAAGAAATATCGAGAAAATAATTATATCTAAATATCTTATACGTTTAATTTTCACATGATTGCTTTTTTTTATGTAATTAATATGTTTTCACTCATATTATCGTAGTTCCCCCTAGATATGTCACAAATTTTTGACATTATGTGACATCCAAACATGGATAGAATATATTGTATGAAGATAGATGAATACGAGCGAAAATACACAAAGGATATACGATACAATTCCGATTCTCGCTAGATTCCAAAATGTAGTTCAGCGTAGAATGTAATTTCATACAAAGCAAAGTGTGTTAAATTTAATTTAATTTTACATATTTACGGATCGACATGACTATATAGTACAGATAAAATATCACAGTATATCAAATACAACTATTTAATGACTTTTATATTAAATCGACTAGTTATGTTATTAAAACATGGCAAAATATTTGAAATTATGATTATTTCTTTTCACGTGCAAAAAATATACATGTCACTCTCAAAGTAAAATTTAAAACGCGTATTTGCAATGATGTCGTTTTTAGAAGGCAACGTTAAAGATAGTTGCTACTCGCAGAATCAGGTCGCTTTTCTCCGTACTTTTCTCCTCGCTTTTCCTTCATTGAAAAACCACGTTGGATCGAATCTCGTTCTCTCCACCTTGGAATTTCAATACCGGAACGTGTTATACGCGATGACAATTAATACCACAAAGGCTACTACGTGCAGTATTTAGGAATAAAAACAGATTACAACTACGGACTAATTCTCGAAAACTGCGAGGAAACTCGGGTACAAGAATTTTTAGTTACCGTACTTTAAATCTCAAAGAGAATATTCGACCGAATATTTTACATTTCCGAGATTCTGCGATATTTATAAAGATTATTAAATAAAATGTTAATTATCACGTTAGACGTCGTTAATTATTCTAAAAAAATATGCAAGACTAAAAAAATGTTGAACAAGTTTTTAAAGAAGAGCATTCGAAACACAAGAACGTTTTTTTTCTTTTAAAGGTTGTATAAATTCATTTTTATCATTATATATATATATATATATTTTATTTTACTTTATTTTATTTCATTTTATTTAACAATATAATCTATCGTAAAACTTACGATTATTATCATTGTAATTGACAGAAGATATTACACTTTCAGAGTTCCACAAATCGATCAAGACACGAATCCTTCTTGTAAACGCGGACCATCGGGTTAGAGGTGTCCTCGAGATGCGGTGATGGCTTTGTTGTATAGGTTCGCGCAGCTGCACGATCGCAGTGGCACGCGGGTCTTCTCCTTCGTCGTCACTAGGACCGTCGTGCGCGATCCTGATAGGGACGTCACGAGTAAGGAACTAGTATGCGGTTTCCAGAGATGGGCCGTCGCTTTCTCGCGCGGGGAAAAGGTAACGCGATCTATATTTTTACAAATTTCTAATTAATAATAATAAAGGATATTAGGAAGAATTTTTATTTTCCCTATACGTGGATAACTATTATTAAGAGTTTAACAAGGCTCTGTAATATAATAAATTTTAAGTGTAAGACAGGCAATAAGAGCCAAATCGCGGATGACAGTGCGTTATCCCAACGAAACTAAATTTTTTCGTTAGAATTAAATACCTGTGCACAAGGCACCAAATTTTACTAGGTCACGGCCAAGATTTAAAATTGGAATAATCTCTACAAGAGTTGGTAAGAGCAGTCGCCCGGAAAGTGAAAGACGCGGGTTCGATTCCCGCTTCAGCGACTTTTCGGACCTATATTTTTCGCGCCTATTTCTCCATATGTAAGTTTCGAGATTAATTTATATATGGAACTTAGTGATCTCAAACCAAGAGATACAGTTCCGAATAATTAATTTTTCGTGCTTTGGCTCTGTTGGCCGATTTAAAAAAAAACATCATATTTATATTCTTAATATTGAGAGCCGATAAAAATATTTCTTTCTGACTCTACAAGAGATTTAATTCCATACATCCCCTGTTCCCTTCTAAGGAAATAAATGCGAGAGAAAAATCTTGGCCGTGACCAAGTAAAATTTGGTGCCTTGTGCACAGGTATTTAATTCTAACAAAAATATTTAGTTGGGATAACGCACTGTCATCCGCGATTTGGCTCTTATTGCCTGTCTTACACTTGAAATTTATATAACTATTATTTTAAATCAGTTTGATCTTCTTATTAATTTGAAAAATATATATTTATAATATACAGAACGTCCCATAGGAAATTGCTGAAACTAATCAGCTGTCATTTTTTAATGCATACAGCTATTGAGAAAACGAGAATTATGTTGGAAAGAGAAAAGTCCGCAGTTTTTAATGGATGTAAATAAAATGTTTGTATACCAGTTTATTTTATTGATAAAAAGTAATGAAAAAAGTGCCAATAATTATATAAACTAATGATAAATGTTTCCAACAGTGCCAGATTTAATAGCAGCTATTAAAAGAATCGTCAATAACATTAAAAGCGACATGTTAGAAAAAGTTTTTACGTGGTGGGTTTTATACGGTGCGCACTTTGAACATATTTATCATTACAGTTTACACATATGCGTGATTATTAATACTTTTTTCATTATTTTTCTTCAATCACTTTCCTCTCTTCAACATAATTTTGGTTTTCTCTATTTCCTATGAGACACTCCGTACGATATAAAAATAAACAGCGAATCTCGCTATTATCCAGTCTTTCATCTCTTCAAGGTCCTGGGCGTGTACCTGGTATGGCGTGGCGCGTCAAGAAACCTCCGCGTCTACGTGGACTTCACGTTCACGCTGCTGAACCGAGAACATTTCTCCATGAACGAAAGCTTCTCCGGGAAGCGTGTCAAGTTCACTTACGAGGCGCCTGCTCAGGGCAACCGCAGTTACATCGCGGTGGCGGATCTCTACAGCCGTAATTTCGCCGATACAAACGGCGAGTTCCAGTTGGAGCTGTCCATGGCGAACGTGCGGACGGTGTACATGACCGAGGTCAGAATGCCGACGTCGGTATTCTCGGCCGGCCAGACGAAGCCGAGCAAGCTGGAGACCGACTACTTCGCGTTCGGCGGTTTCGATTGGAATCTGGTCATCTATCCGCACGGCAAGGACGCGGACAGTTCCCGCGGCCAGGACAGCCGCGTGAGCGTTTATCTCATGAGGTTGTCGGGCTTCGATCACCGATGCAGGGTGAGGTACAGCCTGGCTCTTGGCGAGAGCGATCGACGAATCGACTCGGGACAGATCGAGGACATCTCCGATGCAGCGGAAGGCTGCGGCTTCGGCTGGCACACGCGGGTCAGGTGGTCCGATATCGCGCACAAGGGCACGCTTCGCGTGTCGCTCGAGATGCTCGAGGCAAGGACCATCTGCGAGATCGCGGTGCAGGCCTTGGGCTCGTCGGTCCTGCCCGCTGCGCCGTGCTACGATCGCGACAAACAGGCCTGGGCCATCCGCGCCGATCTCAACTCGGATACCGTTAGACTGCACTTGGTGTACAAAGACATCCACAACGTGCCGAGGAATCATTTAAAGTATTAATCTTTTCGTTATAATCTATCATCTATCTCAAACTGACGTACGATAATCAATTTCAGCATTCAGCAAAAACATTGCACAGAAAAAAAGGAATCCTTGATTCAAGTATATTTTTATTCTCGAACGCTATTTGATTGATTTAAGCATAGAATGCTTTTTGTAATCACAAATTTTCATTTGCCTTAATAATAAATAAGTTTGTGTGAAGTATATTTTATCCTTAAGATATATTCTTGTTTTAAAAATCGCATATGGTAAAAACAAACTTAGTCACATTTGAACTAAGAATTATTATATATACTTGAAAGTACCGCTTATATCCGATCCTCACTTGTCACTTGTCCTTGCAATATTTATAATTTCAGCTTCAACCAAGAATATTTTGCACTTTGTTTCAAGGATAAATTATCCTTTATCCAAAATTATTTATATTTGGCGCTATTATAAGGATAAAATATACTCGAATCAAGGCATATTTGCATTCTCTCAAGGATACTGTTTTTTTCGGTGTGGAAAGATTATTGAGCAATCTTCCTAAGTCTCTTTTCTTTGGATTTTTGCAGATACATTAGTTGGTCGGCATACTTGCTGAGGGGCGAGGGACCAAACGTCGCGGCGATTGGGCTGCCCGGCGAACCATTCAGCCGCTATTATGTTCAAGAGTCCGCCGACGAGGGTATCATCATGGAGACGAACGTGGATATGAACGAGGTGAAGGAGAATCATTGTCCATTCCTCACAGACAAGGGACAGTTGAGGATCCGGCTAGAATGGAACGAGAGTCACCTGCTCTTTCAGGCGACCTATCACAAGTACGACGACGTGTGTCGCGTGCACAATCAACAGATGCGACGTGAAATCGTGTCGCTGCAGGCGGAGAACTATAGCCTCGAACGGCAACTCTTCAGCTATCAAAAGAGTCTAGCGTACGCGCAGGCGCAACAGCAGCAGCAACAGCAACACCCAAATCAGCAGCATCACTCGGTGAGTCATCCGGGCCATCTAGAGCGATCGGCGTCCAGCGACACCGAATACGCTTGACAAGTGGAACGCGAGTTATCATTGTCACCAACACCACCAAGTTGCCGACGTCTGCTGCCGCCGCCGACAACGACGACGACGACGACGACGACGACAACGACGACGACGACGGCGGTGGCGGCGGTGCCGGACGACGATCAGCGGGTGCATCAGAATCTGGTCAGGATGATGGATCGGCGGCTGAGCAACGTGCAGTTGCAGCAGCATTTCTACGAGGAACAACGCCACCGTCATCGGCACAGCAACGGCAGCAGTGGGGTCTCTTCGCCCAGACGGAGCATCGATCGCAG